CGGATCCTCTGCAAGCTACACACACCAAACGCACAAGGAACTTCACCCTGCCATCAACTCCTGTACAATCTTTCCAAGTTGGGGGCAGATTACATTTTTGGGGTCCCAGTTACTGACCCCCCAAAAGGTGCTCTCTCTGGAAAAGACAGATGCATTTATAGGAGTCAATGGAATAGCTTAGGAACAAGCCAGTGACACCAAACTCACAGGGAAACTTCACCTGGGCAGACTCCCCCCCCCCACATCGATTTTTCCTACTCTGTGGAGGAAAAGGAACACCTGTCAGGCTGGCTGGGCCACTCACAATTCTCCAAAAGCAGATTTGGAAGGACAGAAAGGTAGACATGATGAGAGACTTCTGACAGGAACCCCATGACAGGTTGGCGCGCACCTCAGCCTCACTAGACCAGTGGAAATTACAGTTTTCCATCTAAAGTGATTATTGATGCAAACTGCCTTGCATAATAAAGAAAGACTGTGCAGTTTCTTGCCCAACCTAGTGTTTAGGGACTGAAATGTTGACATATGGGGGCTATTTCAAGAATGTTCCTAAGTAACAGATGTGGCTTTAGGGTTGCTTCCATATTGGATGTTAGGACTGGCTCCTCTACAATCTCTGCAAGCTGGAGGTGGGTCATATTTTTGGGGTCCCAGTTATGGACCCCCCCCAAAAAAAAAGGTTTCCCACATTTATACCCTCCCACCCTTCCTGAGTGTGAACATCTCTGTGTGGCATGAGGATGAAAGTGGGTGCAAAGGGTGCTCATTGTGTGTGGGGGAAGTCTTTCACCCCCCCCCCCCCGGGCACCAAACCCATCCCGCCAGGCCACTGGAGCCAGGCCCTAGCAGGGCACCACCAGGGGGTCTCAGAGCCTCCTTCCCCTGATCAGTTCCTGGGGCTCTCTGCAGAGGCAAAAGAGTTGTTAGCACTGCCCTGAGACACCAGCAGTTGCTAACACTCTCTGGAGAGGAGGACTCTTGACAGCAGGGATTCAGAAGGTGGGGGAAGCATTCTCCCTTTCCATATCCCAAACACCTGTTACTGCTCCTACCTTGAGTACACCACTCCATGGCCCCTCCCAGCCCGGTTCCAGAAAGAAGCTATGCCTCCCACCTTCGCCAGTCCTGGGGCCACAGTTTGGAAACAGTTCCATACCCTCCCCAGTGAGACCTGTGTGGCAAAGTGCCAGGTGTGCCACACCCATGTCTGGAGGGGTGTAAACCCACCCCAGCACTTGTTCATCCTCCACAGGCATCTGCAAAGGGTGCACCCCAGTATGTTGCTGCCGGAGGAAAGTATGGTTGCCAGCAAGAGGAAGAAGAGGCCCACTCCCTCAGCAGAGAGAAGTGGAGGAGGAGCAGGAGGCCCCCCCATGAAATGCTCCCTGCACTCGGGCTGCCATGTGTGGGGCATCAAGGTGGGCCACCCTCCAAAATGTCAAAAGCCTATGTGACGGGCCCAGAAAACACTCACCTCATTGTCAGCAAGATGATTGCTGTGGACGGCCAACATTTCTCCCTCATGGAGGACGTAGCCTTTCACTGGCTGCAGAGGCTATGGTCAAGGTTTAGCTCTCCAGATCGCAAGGCAGAATGGGGCACTTCACAGCAGACCTCTGGAGCAGCCAGCAAGACTGCTGAGGCATGGCCCAGGCTCCAGGAGGGAACAGTCCTGCCACTGGGCTACAAAGTGGTTCTACTCCATGTGCAGGGGATGGATGCAGACCATACGGCGCAAAACATTGCAGCCATGTGATACAGATACAGAAAAGCCTGAGGGAGCAGGTGGGTGGAAGCAACATTGTCCGTGTCTACATGGTCACGGATGCTGGCATCATGCTGGCAGAGGTGGCGTGTGCGCCTAAAGGGCATCATCTGCCTGGTGCACACACTTCAGCTGGTGGTGAAGAATGCTCTGGGGCCAGAAAGTACTGTCAAACCTACCTGGGATGTTGTCCCCCTCAAGATGTGATCATTTCTCAAGACCTGCTGGTGCCTGGCTGCCCACTTCTTGCACAGCATCAAGTCTGTCTGTCTGCTGCACAAGAGGCAGGGGGAGGGAGATGACAAACTCCACCTAAGCCATGATTACACATTTGGTGGAGCAGAAGAGCACTGAGTAGGATGTCATCTCCTCCATCACCATCCTGAATGGGGAAGAGGACCTCAGCACCAGCTCCAATGACTGGCTGACGCTCTCCCAAATGATGCATGTCCTCAAGCCCTTCCTGGACACCACTGATGTGCTGTGCACCCATTATGGCCAACCTGGGGCAAGTCATCCCCCTGATTTGAGGGCTAGACTAGGTGCTGGCCTCCACACTGGAGCCAGCTGTCCTCCTACAGGTCAGGGCCTTGGCAGAGAGGTTGCAGATAGGCAATTCACAACCAGGAGGGTATAAAATGTGGGTCCTCACTGAGCCGCTTGGCATGAGCAGAGAAATGGGCCCCCCCCCACAGAGTCCTGAGTCCTCACTCAGCCAAGTCACCCAGTAGCTAAGGCCAATGTTTGGCATAAGCAGAGAGACAGGGTGGCTCAGAGCTGAGTCCATTTAACACCCAGACCCCAGTAGGGAGAGAAGTTCACAATCAGGAAGGTATAAAACATGGGCCCTCACTTGGCCAATGCACCCAGTAGCTAAGCCCCATGGCTCAGTGTGAGAACAGATAGATTCCTGAAGGGGCGTAGCAATGAGCTTGTTGTTGCCCTGCAAATTGGGAGCTAGCCCTCAGTTCTTATCAAGCATCCCTTGTGCACTGTCTTGCATAACTGCCCCAGGAACGAGTCTGTGTTTCTGACTTGAAAGAGCGGGGAGTGGTGTTTGTTCACCGTCCATTCAGCACAGTCCTTCCTAGTGTCTTGGAAACATACTTCTTCCTCCCGTCTCCCACCAATCAGTTTGATAATTCAGGGAGGCCAGTGGCCTTAGTGACTGAATAGATGCAATTAGGAAGGTAGTGTGGCCATCCCTGCACTTATAAACCATTAGCTGCTGTTTCAGCTGGACTACGTGGGCTGTGTCTGAAGGTGTGTGCTGGGGAAGGTGCCTGCTTCATGGGAACAGGAGGATGGTAAATACAGGAGAGCAGCCTTAGAACCTGACACATTCACAGCTTTCCCATCACTGCCACATTTCCCATGGCTGAGACAGCTTGGCTTTGCACATGCACAACAGAAAGGCATTATGATAATAAAGCACAGCTGTGTACTTGCAGCACCAAGTTTCAAGTGTGCGCCACCAATCACAACCAGCATCATCAGCCACCATAGCAAGCCCTTTTTTGGTTTTTTTTTTTTTAAACTAGGTGAGATTTCAGATTTCAGCATTTCAATGGGCTGGATCCAGTCATCTTTTTCACTCAGTCTCTCCCGTTTCCCCTCCATTCTATAGCCCCTTTTAGTAAAGGTAAAGGTTCCCTTGCTCGAAAGCCAGTCGAATCCGACTCTAGGGTTGCGGTGCTCATCTCCGTTTTAAAGCCAAAGAGCCAGCGCAGTCCGAAGACGTTTCCATGGTCATGTGGCCAGCATGACTATACACCAAGGTGCATGGAACACTGTTACTTTCCCACCGAAAAGCCCCTTTTACACATTACTTTATGGGACATTCAGGTCCCATAATTCTTAGCATAGACTTTTTTGGGATGGTCAAAGAGGATCTCTTCTTCTTCTTTTTAACAGAAAAGCTGGTTGGTCCATCCCATGAGTTTTGTTTGAGTCACAATGCAACCAACTTAAGCAGCAGCCCTCTGCCCACGATGCCACATTATCTTTAATCAAACTCTGTCCGTGTCGGGCCAATTTCCACCTAACATCTCCCCCCAGCCAGTCCAGGGTTAATATTTCCATTCCTTGCCATATTTTCTCTTGCCTTTCCTACCCTGGTGAGCTTTACTTCCTCTGCTTTTTGGTGATTCAGATTCTTGGGTTCAGTAAAAAAGGAAAGGGGAGGGGCACTTTTCTTACCTTCATACTGGCACAACAAAACTAGACATAAAACAGGTGCTCTGCAGATGAAGGCAGAGGGGGCTTCCATACAGCCAGTGTTCCCTCTAAACTGTGTGCATGAGTGGCCACACAGAGCAGCAATCTAGAGCCGTGCAGAGTCTTGCACTGCCCATTGGCCATTTTAAGATTACAGCAGTTATATTATGCTCAGGATGTGAACTGCTCCGCTCAGTAGGGGAAAAAAATTAGAGGCCTTCCTTTAAAAAACATCTAGCGTTTATTAAACCAATCTGATAACTGAATGGGCAAAGGCAGAAGTTATAAATCCTTTAGGTAAGGGATAAGAATTTATGGGGTGTGAACTTTGGGAAGAGGGGAAAGACAGTCAGATAAGCTGTCCTCTGGGGGGAAAGGGGGGGGGGGACGGACAGATGCAGCTGAAATGTCATCGTGATTCAGATCCATCTCAGATTTATGAGATGACTCAAGGGCAGCAATCTGATAATGTTAACAGTGAACCCAAAACAGCAGGAACTCCCCAGATTGGCTCAAGACTCGGCTGCTTAAGAACTTGATTCCTGTCAGATAAATGGTGCTGTGGGGAATGTGATTGTGGTGGACAATCTCTCAGTTTTGTCTGTGTGAATTTAGTACCTATAAAGCTTGGGAAAACCTCCCCCCGCCCCCCATGCTAGAGGTGTGAGTTTGCAGCGGGCACTAGAGCACCCTTGCCCTCTTTCTCTCTTCCAGCATTTTTCTCCTTCTCTTCACAGGGAGCTGAATGGGAACAACATCACCCGCATCAACAAGAATGACTTTGCTGGGCTCAAGCAGCTGCGAGTTCTGTGAGTGCCCCTTTCTCCACTACCTCCCCTATAATACTGTCTCCCTTTCCCACTGGCATTGCAGTCTGTTGCTGAGTGGGAGTGGATATGTCAACATCAACCCTAAACAGAATTGGTCGCCCCAAGGGGGAGCTCTCTTTGCCCCTTTCTTCTGTTTTTCCCTTGTGTCCTCCCAGTTCTGACGCTCTTGTCACTTTTTTAGGCAGCTGATGGAAAACCAGATCAGTGTGGTGGAGAGAGGGGTGTTCGACGACATGAAAGAGCTGGAGCGACTGTGAGTGTCTTGGTCATGAACACGCTATGAAAACTGGGGAAAGGGAGAATACAGAGAGAAAAGGGTTGATAAATCCCAACGGTAGCCACCACATTCAGTCTCTTCACTATGCAGGTCCATTCTCAGACTTGGAGTAATGGATTTGGTGACTTTAGTGGCCCTAGGTCAGTGATGGCGAACCTTTTAGAGACCGAGTGCCCAAATTGTGACCCAAAACCCACTTATTGATCGCAAAGTGCCAAAACGGCAATTTAACCTGAATAATGAGGTTTTACTTTAGGAAAAACAACTCATACATTAACTTAAGACGATCCGAACAAAGCAAGGAAAGCAATCCCAAATGCTTTCATTTACTTAAAATTATTTGGCAGAGAATTCCACACTTTAATGACGGTCTAGGCCTGGCTGGGGCAATGGCACGTGTGCCCACAGAGAGGGCTCTGAGTGCCACCTCTGGCACCCGTGCCATAGGTTCGCCACCACTGCCGTAGGTGGACCAGAGGTGTAATGGGGAGGGAAACCTGATGGTCATAGACAACCAACACCAGCATTGACACCAAGAACCATTTCTCTCCACCCGCACTCTCCTTCTGACACAAGCAGATGGTATGAGCACTAAGTGTTGTTACACCCAGCTCTGAACAGCCTGGCTGGCATTTACACCCAGATGCTTCCCAATCTGTTCACTGTTTCTTTTGGATCTAAAATAACTCTCTGCAGTATGCATTTACTCAGGGGCAGTGCAGAAATCAACCCAAGCAACGTCTGCATCTTTTCAGCATGACAGCTGTAAAATACCTCCACCAAACCTTGCTGCTCCTGTTTCTGAACATTCCTTTCTCGTCCCTTGACCCATCACCATCACTGTCAATGGAGCCTAGTTCTCTCTGTGGTCATCATGACTGGCCCTTCTGGCATTACATGGAACTACCAGTGGCTACTAGCCCTGATAAGGGGCTGTATATGCTTCCCTGTACAGAAGCAGCAAACTTCTGAATACCAGAGCTGGCAGGCAGCAGCAGGGGTGGGCCTCAGCCTCTATGCGCTGTTCGTTTGGCCCCCAGGGAAACTGGTTGGCTGCCATATGAAACTGTATGCTGCACTACATCAACCACTAGTCTGATCCAGCAGGGCTGTTCTTGCTGTCATTCTAATTGCCAATTAAAGGCAAATAGGGCTTCCAGTATAGAGATGCAGGGATACAGTGAAGTCCCAACAGTTGCCAACAGAGCTCCATGGACACTTTCATTTTAGTACTGAAAGTTCTAACTGTGCTACCACAGGCTTCTTCTTAACCGTATGACCACTGATCTATCTAAGGCCTGCACCTTGGACACCAAATTTGTGATCCTATGCAACTAATTTCTGTCTCAGTCCTTGGCTTGCTCCACTTGCCCATTCATTTTGTACCTCTCCAACTTTGACTAAAAATTTATATTATTTTATTTAAATACCCAATCTCTGTCTCGGTCCTTGGCTTTCTCCACTTGCCCATTCATTTTGTACCTTTCCAACTTTGACTAAAAATTCAAATACTTACATTTTGTAATCTTCGAGTGAATTTGCAGGGGTAAGCTGAAACTAAAGGAATAGTCGTTTGGATAGCATCCATCAAAGATTGTTCTAGTTAAGCAGTGAACTCTTCAAGGTACAAAAGATCCCTCAATGCACAGCTGCTGCTTTTTGCATGCACTGGGAATGGAAGCTCAAGCACCGGTTTTTGCAAATCAGGCCACCCTAACCTCAGAAACTTTATTTTGGCTTTAGCAGACTATAGTTCTATGGTTCAAAGATGGTGAAAGTATGGTTGCCAGCCTCCAGGAGGGGCCTGGAGATCTGCTTTTGCAACTGATCTCCAGCTGACAGAGATCGGCTCCCCTGGAGAAAATGGCTGCTTTGAAGGGTGGACTCTATGGCATTGTACCATGCTGAGGCCCCTCCCCTCCCCTCCCCTCCCCTCCTCAAACCCCACCCTCTCCTGGATC